TGAAAACTGGATAGGGTTTGAGCACCTTGGCCATCAGCTCCCCTAAGCAGGGTTGGAGAACATGGCAAGACAGAAGGAACAGAGAAATGCTCAGTCTATGAGCATAATTTCTCCAGACTTTCACTTCCTGTTAGTGCAGGAGAAGTGGCTTATTTGAAAAATGCATGGTAGTCTTTCAGCTCATCGTGTGAACAGGAAGTACTTAAGAAGTGATGTAGCTTGGAGAATCAGCATCCAAAAACTAAGAAAAGAATAAAGGCAGGATAAATTTGAATATCAAAGTTGTAATTTTCTAGTTTTTCAGAGGACTGTAAAGTGCCTATGTAATTATGTGTTCTTATTTAAGAGTTCATACATACCTTCCAGGGTCCCATTGCTTCTTTTCATTGATTTTTGTGATTGGTTTTTAGATTAAGATGGACTAGAACACCTCGAAGTGTGGCTGATCATTTTTTTCAGGCAATTGCCCAGTCCTGAGCTGGGGAGAGCAGATGACTCAAGGGCTTGTTGACAGGATATGGTGTTATTTACCTGTCGTTGACTGGCTTGACTTTGGCTCCAGTTAGTAATGCTTGAAGTCATTGCCATCTGTCTCTTGGTCAGTGACCTGTATAAAATAGCAGGTATTCTTAGTCCAGTTCTTAGTAGACAGGTGTCCACATCATGAAAATTGGCACCGTTAGGAAGCCTGTTGGCTGTCTCAGCAGAGACTGTCTGCTAAACAGGCAAAGAAAAGATGTAACCTCCTCATTTCTGGAGGTATCTTTTTCCTGTGTCAGGGTTCAGGTACGTCGATGGGTTAATGTGTGCAGAGACAAAAGTTACTGTATACCTTTGCATTTTTTTTTCCCAGAGAAATGTATACCGTATGTTTGAATTTCTCATTAATCTTATAAAAATTCCCTACCTAGTTGGTTTCCTAGCAGAAGACAGTAGCAGGAGTCCTGACAGAACAAAACAAAGGAGAACATGCTTCATTTGACTGATATCTTTTAACTTAAAAAAAGCATCCTGTTAAGCCAGCGAGAATTTGGAAATAAAAAGCACCAGATCTTTCATATGCAGGTATATTAAAATAGTAAATATACCCTGTAAATAAAGCTGTACCTTGTGTGTTGAAATCTCCATGCACACTTGTTTATTAATGTTCCTTGTTGGCTGGGTGTCTCTTGAAGGCAAAATTTACAATATGCAAAAAACCCATGCAAGATTTCTGTGACTGTTTACATACAGTGGAGATCTCTGCAGTGACAGTTGCCTATGGAGACAAGGGGATAATGGAGCCCAAAGTCTTTCACTGAGAGCTGTGCTGCACTTCAACCCATATGTTGGCATAAAATGCATGGGAGAGCTGTCTTATGTTCCTCTTCACGGGGTTAGAGCCTGGCATCGCTTCTTCAGCCCACATGTAACAACTATTCTGGATTTTGCAGGGGTTGCTTTTAATCCTGCCTGATCTTCTCTAAAGTATATTATCTTGCAAGCAGTGATTCAGACTTAACTGTTCCTGCTGCAGTGTGTAGGACTCTCCTCCTATTTCATTGACATAAAAATACACGCCACTATGTTATAAATAGTTCTTTAGTGTTTCTGGACATTTATGCTTGATAGATGCTTTCTGAATGTCTACGGAAAGATAAGCTCAACTGGTCATATTTACAGTTAATTGGCTTTCTTACAACTCGCTGCTTTTTATTGCCAGTAATAGAATGTTAAGGATTCTAATAGGATCTTCTGATTGCATCGCCAGGGTTGATTAAGTGGTGCAACATGTTCATTCTGGAGGGCTGCTTAAATCACCAGCAAAAGTAGGTTAGGTGACTACAGACCTACTCCTCGTTGACAGGCATCCCTATGATTAATAATAATAAAGAAGCCTGACTCACAAGCTGTACCCTTGCTGTTGCTACCAACCGGAGTTACATTTTCGTTAGGAATAAGAGAGGTTTTGAGGTCCCTGTAGGTGCTCCTGCATTGGGATTAAGTACTGGAATGGACTCAAAAAGCCAAATTTTGACCTAACAGCTGTGAATGGACAATACAGGTAGAAAAGCAGGTCTGCAGCTGAGGGAGAAATGCTAGGGAGATACCGGCTTTCTGTGCCCCTTGCTACTGTCTTCATTCTTACCAAACATTTTAACCTTTGAAAGTTTTAAGCACAAAAAAGACACTTGCAGGTCTAGGATAACGGAATGGACGAGCTCAGTTACGATGCCTGGCTCTTTGGCTGTTCTTAGTTTCCTGAAACTTCACAAACCTGAAACGTTTTTAGATTCTCACTCATCCAATGTTGTCTAATGGTTTCAAACATGATTTAACGTGTTCTGATGCTTTGTTTTCAAAATTAGGTTGTGGTTTTGTTACTGTCTGAGAGTTCCCACTTCCTCCTTATTTTTCTCATGGAGAAAAATTAATAAAAAAGTTAATAAATAAATATTTGAGTACAGGGTAGCAGTTACTAGAATAATGAACTTCAGCATAATTTTAATCCTCTGCTGCTGATATGGGATTTCTAATCGCATTAAATCAGGTTTGCAGATTTTGAGATTTTATATTAGTTTGAGTCTTAGTTCCCCCCTTCTTTCCAAGAAACTTCCAAGAATAAACCTGGAAAAGGACTCTGAAAACTTACTGCCCAGGAAGATGTAACTGTTTAATAGAACAAAAAAAAAAATCAATGGCTGAGAAAAACAGCTCATGCCCATGGGGAAAAAAGCTGTCTGTTTGCTGATTTTCATGCAACTATAAAATCACAGTGTTCTGTGAGCTAAATAAAGGAAGAAAGATACCAGAGAGGAAAGCAGTTAGAGATTTTTTTTTAAGGATATCATAGTAATATTTGGAGGATATAATTTTTGGAGGATACTTAATTGAAGTTTCTTAGAACTAAAAAAAAATTAATTATGCTTCGTATATCCCCCCAATAATGAGTATTCTCCTACAGAGTAGCAAAGAGGAATGCCTGCGTTTTCTCCCAGGAGAGCTGTGTGGAAATATGTCTCATTTCTATGAAACATGGTTTCTGAAACACTTCAAGTTCATCCAGTAAAATATATATATATATATTAGTTAGTTAAAAATAGTTTACTGCAGTTAAATGATAGTCTGATGATTAGTGGAGATCAGGTATGGTTGGATCTTTTGTATTTCTACATGCAAGTGCAGTTGACCTTTTCTCCCCTATTTTCTCTGACTGCAGGTGGATGTTTTCACTTCCAGTATCTTGACAGCTCTAGTATGGGTTTTTTAAATCTCTTGGAGCTTTTTTGTTCTTCAAATGTAATCATATCTCATTCAGGAAATTTAATCCAAATCCATCTTCAGTGAGATGAGTGACTTGGCTACAATGTGAATTCCTCTGTTCTAGTGAACAATTAATTATTCGTAGACATGGGAGCAGCTTCCATCTGCGATATGTAGAGAGTAACTCATTGCAAATGCAACGTTATGGCATGAAAGGGTGCTAGCTGGAACTTGGGAGCTTTTTCTTTTTTTTTTTCCTCTTTAAATCTCATTGAGACAGACATTTTAAAGTATCCAAGTTTCTAGGGACTGCTGAGCTACCAACTGTTCTAGGGTGAATTTTCATTAGATTTTTGTCTCAAAAAATGCCCTTCTGTCAAACTGTTAACTTCCAGTAAAGAGTATGTTTTTTTACATTTAGCTGAAAACATCTTAGCTGATCTTCCGTATACATAATTTGCAAAGTGCTAGAAATAGTTTTACATGCTTGCATTTTACTTTTCATGTGCAGTATGATGCTTGATCTAGATGCAAGAAAAAAGGTCCCCATTTCCAGTGGCTTAATTCTTTTTATCTTTCTAAAATTTGATTCCAAGTGACATCTGTGGACACAGTGATTTTTTTTTCTTTCCAAAAGGCACACGTTCTTCTGCTTTTGAAACTGTCTGAAGTGTTTCCTCCTTTCATTTTGGATTGCAAGTACTGTGATAAAGCCCGAATTAACAGACAGACCATTTCTCCTTTTCAGGAGTTTGAGTTGTAAGAGTTTAGAAACTAGAGTTGTGAACTTGTCAAACGTAAATTGAAAGTGTTCTAATGATTTTACCAAACAATATCGGCTTGAGAAATTAGATGCTATGAGTTTATTGTCTAAATTAAACCATTAGGTATTTAACACTGTGATCACAAAATCATCATAGTAATGGGTAGAAATAAGAATAACCTGTTACTCTGACAGTGGATCTAGTTTCTGGTGAAATTAATGCATATGGTCTTGGGTCAAGGGAACTCAAGCTCCCAGTAAAGTACTACAGCATGAATTTCCATTTCAAGGTGTATTTTGTCCTGTAATAAGAAACAATACCTTAAGATGAAACTGTTCTTTTTTTTCCTGATAGTCGCTAATCTGTACCCAAGTATGAAAAAGTGTTGAGACCTCTGTTCAATTCTGTGTTTTTATTGGGGCATGTATTTCAGCAGCAGGGCAGTAGCACCTGCACCTAGGTTCAGACTTCAGAAGTGCTTACATGTCTAACTCTTGTTTTGATTGCTAGAGTTGAAACAGTTGAGTACTTCTTGGAGCTATGGATATAGGTCTTGATCCTGCAATGCTAAATTGCCAGGTGCATGGCATACTAATGTAAGTAGTCCAGTTATTGCCAATTAGAACTGTGAATGTTAGTAATAAATACCCTGGGGAATGCAGTTTTCCTCAATTAGGTGCTTGTTGTTAATTAACATAGTGTTTTCTGTAAGCCTTTTAATTTTTGGCAACTGTTTCCTTATTCATTGAGTCAACATGAGTTTCTGAATGGGGATTTGCTTGGGAAATACTGCTTTTGATTTACTTATGCAGCAAAAATAGTTGAGCAGTGTTCACTGTTAGAGACTTATCTGAAATGACCAGTATTTGCGTTTTGTTCTTGCTCATCCACAGAGCCCTCAGAGCGATAACTGTTCACATGCCAGGATCGTTTATGAGAATTGTTGATCTTCAAAACTCAAACTTTCTTGCTCACTTCCTTTTCATACACTAGGTCCCGTTACTGAAGTCAAAACAGATATATATGTCACCAGTTTTGGACCTGTTTCTGATGTAGAAATGGTATGTATTTCTGGAATTCCAATGCTGTTTCCTGGTGCAGAGACACTTAACTGCAGTGTGGAGTGGATGCTTAATTCGTGTGGCTTTGCACTGTTCTGTCAGTCAGGGAAAGAAGGCGAGATTAGCAGCAGCTCATTTTTAAATGTTATGATTAGATATATCAAGCTTGATTCTGGTCATACTTGCACTGGCTTTTGGTTATTGTAAGAATTTAAAACAGATTTTCTTGGTATTGAGGCAGAATCAGGCCCTATAGGGAGTATGTAGGTGCACTGCGGGGAAAACAAGTCAGGTCGTTGAAACTGCCTTTCCGTTCTGAAGTTTGTATTATTCTCAGATGAATAATAATGACATCATTTCACAAATACTTGTTGACATTTTCATTTCAGATGAATTATTTTTGCCAATCTTTATGCCACTTTTAGCATCACTTTCAGCAAATGTTTGAGCGATAGGAGTTTTCATAACTGTCTGCAGGAATCAAATGTCAAAATGGCATGCAAGAAATAGTCACAGAAGGCAAATGTTACATTTGCACGTACGGCTATTTGTGCCTGAAAGGCACTTACATTTGTTTGAGGTCCAATCCATCATAACTCTCATCATCTTCTATAATATAGGCCTATGATAGTTTCTCTTTTTTTTTTTTTTTAGAAAATAATTCAAAAGTTGCACAGAAGCAAGGCAGCCATATGTACATTAAATATATTTGTCCTTAACTTGCTTAAAGGAAAGGCAATTTCAGAGGAATAACTGGCTTTCTATGCAGTGTCATCCCGCACCCTCTTGCACCTGATTTGTTTCTGTTCTTGCAGAAAGGTGTAGGATAGCAATTTTTTTCAAGGGTTAGGTTCTCACACAAGTCTGCTGTTGAATCACGTCTCACCTCTTCAGAGGTTGTCAGGTACAGTGTGAGGCCGTTCAGGGTGAGCAGTGGTGTAAGAACCTGATCCCAAGCATATCTATTAATGCATGTCCTGCAAATACAAAATGAAAGTCCTTGTGATCTCAATGGCTACTCTGAAACATTTGACATGGTGCCACGTGGGAAATTATTACTTATGTTGGAGAAGATGGGAATAAGAACAGGAAATGTAAAGTAGGTAAGGAACTGGAAGAAGGAGAATTTGCCACAGATGCTCCTGTTTTCAACATTATCAGGCAGTTAATTTTCAGTTAATGTGATCCAATATAATCCAAATATTGCTGCATTCATAAAACTTGCTGAAAGAACAGGATGTGAGGTATTCCTGATGCAGGGGAAGATTAGGGTATGTTTTTAGAAATTGTTTGCTTTGGCACCCAATATAATGAAATAAGCTGAAATCTTACATTGCAAAATCTGTCCTGTAGAAGCTAGCAACAGAAACAGCTACTGCGAAATCGTCATCTAGAATTGACAGTAGAAGAGAGACACTTATGTGGATTAATTATAAACCACACTGAACATTGCAGTCATGGAGGAGAAGACAAATATAATTTTAGGATGCCTTACACTTGTAGAGATACATCCTTTCCAATGTGAATAGACATGGTCATACAAGTAAAGTTTCAATGCTAATACTATGTAGAAGATTCCGAAATAAAGTCAGAAAGCATTGATTGTCTTGCAACAAAATTGCAATTATGTTTAAAAAGGTAACAAGAAAAGCATTAAATCATTTCTTTGTCATATGATACAGTTTTTGTGAAATGCTTTAGTCTTTCAAGATGAAAAATATATATTAAAAATTATGCGACTAATGTGGAAAATAGAGCTATTAGAAAGTTTGCAATTCACTGTAATTTGTGGAAATATGTTTGTGTAGTGGACTTAACATATTCTTTACCATTTCTTTGCTCCTGTGGGATTTCTTTTTACATGAAACACACATGCAAATGTAAACTTTTTTTTTTTTTGCAATTTAATGCAGGAGTATACAATGGATGTCTTCTTTCGTCAGACATGGGTAGACAAAAGACTAAAATATGATGGTCCTATTGAAATTTTGAGGCTTAACAACTTGATGGTTTCAAAAGTGTGGACACCTGACACTTTCTTCAGGAATGGGAAAAAGTCTGTTGCACACAATATGACAGCCCCAAATAAACTCTTCAGAATAATGAGAAATGGCACCATCCTGTACACAATGAGGTATCTAACTTGCTTGTTCAGCTTCTTACAATTACTGTATGCAAAAGTTATACTGCCTAGACAAAATGGCAACCAGAGACTATTCAATTTGTTCCATTATAGGCTTACAATAAGTGCAGAGTGTCCCATGAGATTAGTGGATTTTCCCATGGACGGTCATGCTTGTCCTCTCAAATTTGGGAGTTGTAAGTTGCAATTATGAAATTTCTTGTAACTAAACTACAGCTTTAAATAATAGAAATAGATGTTGAACAATTATGAGATTTTGTGAATATTAATCTTGATCCACAATCCTTATGCAGACAAAACTCCTGTTAAGTTTTTTGGATATTTTATTTAGAGTCTGGAAAATTAAACCTAGTTAGAAAAAATGACTGGCAACGCTATTGCTTGAAATACTTGTTTTCCTTCCCAGTTCTTAGGCGTGAATTGAATACTTGGTAAAGTCAGAGATTAACTGAAGAAGATAGAGAGCAGGGTCCATCTGACCTTAAAATAACCAACAAAAATGAAGCACCTAGGGAAGCTATAGTTATTTGGCTTTCTGTCCAGACAGTGTAGGGAGATTAACATCCTAAGAGAGATTTGTAGGCTGTAAAGAATTGATCTTAGGTTGTCTTTGTGTACTCCCTTGGCTGTGGGAAGGAGTCTGTACAGCTATTGTTAAGTAAGTAATTTTTAGAGTGGTGAGACTAGGTGAGAGGAAACTTAGTGCAGGCAATTTTCCTTTTCTGGTTTGAAGTCAAATGCAGGGTTTTTTTTTTTTTTTTTTGAATAATCTCCAATATTTTGCTAGCAGGGATGTTTTTGGAGGAACATATGCCACACAGCAGAGGGAAGTAGTTAGATTCCCTGATTTGGATCCGCAGTAGTGATGGCTGAGACCACCTGGTGATTGCTGGAGCGCTCCGGCAGCGATGTCCTGTCACTGCTCTCAGCCTCCTCACTCACTGGCTTCCTCTCTGTTACGCTCAGGTGCAGTCAGTGGCTGGACATTAATCTGCTTTCCTTACCCCACAGTCCTAAAGAAGTGTGGAATGGGATGGAGCTACTCACTTTTGCTTTGTATAAATTTAGCTTATACAGCTGCGTAGTGAAGAAGAAGGGAAATTTTAGAGTCAGTGTCCTTGTAAGACTTTTCTTCCTGGATACAGTGAGGCTGGAGGCCAGGTGTTGCCAGAAGTGCCCATGTACTACATCTGCCTGTGCAGAAGTCCCCACCATTGAAGCTTCCCTAGTATATAGCTGATTTCTTCAGTTACCAACCAGCAGAAATTATGCTTGACACCAATTTGTGATATTCTCAATGGAACTTGAAATAAGGTGTAGTGAATTCAGATGCAAGGCTGTGATTTTTGAATTCAGTTTTAACAGGAGTTTGGGCTGTGTAGAGATTGAACGGTTGGCCTAAGTTATGTCTTTTGTATTAAATGTTGGAATATTTCCTGGGGCCTGCTTAGTTTTGGGTTATTGTGAATCTTTTATTGACCAATCTGATTTCTTGCAAATATATTTTTAAAAAAGATGTTTAGATACAATCATTATTATCTATAATGATAGATTTTTCGCCTGTATCAGTATATCTTTAATGATAAGACTTTAGAAATTTTGTACCTGAAATTATTTAAAGGTGAACTTTACATGCCTAACAAGGGCTGATCCTAAAATCTCATGCCTAGACTTCACATTCAGTTGTAAACTGACTTTGTATATGATACCATGCATAACCTTAGTTACTGTTTATCCGTGGATGTTTTTCTGGGGTTACTTAAACATGAATCATGTCTTCTAAAGATGCTAGTGTAAGTCTTGCCATTCATTTTGGCATGTTTGGCCTGGAGTTGGGTGTGGGAAGTTGTTTCCCATTTAAGCAAACTGATACTATATTGTTTTAGATGCATATCCAAAGAGTGAAATGATTTACACGTGGACAAAAGGACCTGAGAAGTCAGTGGAAGTTCCTGAAGAGTCTTCTAGTTTAGTTCAGTATGACCTACTTGGACATACTGTATCCTCTGAAACTATTAAATCTATTACAGGTAGGAATCTCATCAGTAAAAATCAACTTGAAGTAAATCTAAGCTTGTAATATTGCTTTTTTTTTTTTTCTCTCTCTCTTGTACTGTATTCTAGAGAATCTCATAGGGTATATACTAAGGACTGAGGACATAAATTGTAATCAGATTTCTGTCCTTCAGATTTGCATTTGCAGGTTCACTGCAGTAGATTGCAAAGGCCTTTCAGAAAGCTAGGATGAGATCACTACTCCAAGGGACAAAATGAATATTTCTAAGCACTGCTTAAAATGCAGTTTGAAGAGTCAAGAGGATGCTTGGGTGAGGAAGTCATTTCTCAGCACTGTATCCGCATTATGTGCAAAAGACTTGCTTTGTTTGGTGGTGCAAACAGCTCAGGATAGAAATACAGCATGCAGAATAGGTTATTAAAACCATAAAAAGCTCTCTAGTCAGATAAGGATAGGCACAAATGCATTAGTCACAATAGATACTTCTGCTGATTTTTGTGCTATAAGAAATAAGGCAAATGGCAACAACAGGCATGCTGAATGAGTAAAATCTCACTGATGAGCAGTTTGGTGATAAACAGTCATGCTCCCAAAATATTTTCAAATTTGGAATCATTTTATCAACGTCAGCAAGTTTGGGTGTTGTGAAATTGTCAAAATTAAAGAGATAAAGCTAATATATTTGACATTGCTCTATGGATATATTTCTCAAGGATTAAACAGTGTTTTGCAATATCTTGGAAACTGACCTGTCAGCCTATCGATTCTTATGTGTTAGACTTTTTTTTTCCACTATATTCCAAATACCCTTTCTGTAGCGCTTTTGTTTGGGCAATTTATTCAATATATGTTAAAATTGCAGAAAGTTTCTTATTATGAATGATAATGTTTATATAAACATAAAAGATTATTAATTGTTGTTAGTGATTATTGCATTTATTTATATCTCATTATCACTGTGGTACTGATGTGTAACCCTAGTTGAAAGCTGTAATGCTTCCATATCATTTAATGTGCATCATTGTTATAACTGTTTTAGTTTGCATGCAGGTATTACAATGTTCTGGGTATTATGGTGGGTAGGTAGCTTGTGTCTTGGGACTCTTTATGACATGCTAAAAGGATTTTTACATCAGACTTACACTTTAAAAGTAATCCGATATTAGTCATGTTGTATTTTCAATTAGAACTTCAGAATAACACTGTAAGTATCTACTACTTTGTGGATTTTTTTTGTTTACAAATTTATTTCTCCAAAAGAACTTTATTTTCCTGTGCTTGTGTTAAGCGGTATGGATAACATCTTAAACAATCCTAGTTGACTGTCTGAACCATAGTTATTCTGCTAAACAAAAATTGTATGCAGGGACAGAAATAATATTTTCCTTTTCTTTTTTTTAGGTGAATATGTTGTAATGACAGTTTACTTCCATCTCAGACGAAAAATGGGTTATTTTATGATCCAAACATATATTCCATGCATTATGACCGTGATCCTTTCTCAAGTTTCGTTTTGGATAAATAAGGAATCTGTTCCAGCTAGAACTGTGTTTGGTAATTATTACATTTTAATTTTTCCTCTTATTGTACTTCATCTTTTAACAATTTTCAGTAGAGTAGTCCTTTTTAGTGCACAAAGTCCATACTTCCTCTGTAGTGGTGCAGAAGTCAGGGATTAAGGTAAATTGAGAGGAACACTTGTTGTGAGAGTGTGTGTGCGTGCATGTGTGTTTATATTATATAAAGAATATATTATTTGAAGCCTTGGCATGGAAAGAGAAACTTGGAATCGTAAACCCGAAGCGTAGCATGGTAGCCTGGGGCAAAAAGTTGTACATCTTTCTGGGTTTCTGGACCGGAGAATGGATTCAAAAAAACCTGGCCTTGTGCAATCCAATCAAATCCTTTGGTTGCATCCAGGGTAGTTTCCAGTAAACAGTGTTGTGATTACTTGAAGCATGCCCTCTAAAACCCCATTAAAACAGTTTGATTTGGTATGGATGAGATATGAGATGAGATTTCTCACTAGGTAAGCATCATTAGTGAAAGCTTCCTACCAGCAAGGCTTAGATCCTGTTGCTGTAATTTCATGTTTAGTGATCTTCTCTCCTTCCTCCCATTGCAATTATGAAAATGAATTGAAAAGCCATTAGGGAAATGATCGCAAGATATTAAAATTGAACTCATCAAAGAACAGTTGGAAATGAGATGCTGCAGCAAACAATGAAAATAAACATAAAAATACTTCTCTGGAAGACAAAAAATAAGAACTTAAATGGAAATATGGTTCCTAGAAAAGGAGTAAGATAAAAACATGGTTAAAGTCAATCTTTATAAAGCAGATGTCCTGACTTTACGAGGTACTGTACTCTAAAATAAGGCTAATCAAGAGGAAAGCCTTCTACTAAGGCTACTAAAGATATATGTTGGCAAGAATTATAGAAATTAATGTTCCTACATGACAGCCCATACATACATGTAAATAAAGTCTAAACACGGTCTAGCATCACAAAGTAGGAGGGTTAAGGATCCCCTCACTACACACACACCTAGTAGGAATTTCACTTGCCCTCGACTCAAACGCTACATTAGGCAAACAAACGAATCACCTAACACGCCCTGGCAATAACATTGAATACTCCTTTCTGAAAAGCCCTATTAATGCCATGAACTAGAAAAGTAGAATCTATATTTACAGACAAAATTCAGTAGTCAAAATGCACAACATAGAGAGCAATAGATGTAATAGTAATAGATGTAATATGCCTAATATCCTTGTAAGCTCACTAGAACTTTTTATGCAGATGGAGTTACACAAAGAGTAGTGAATTGCATTTTTATAATGATTTTGTGCTGTGGTGCTAGAATGCTTAAGCATAACAGTAGAACAACTTTTATAAGATCAAGTCACGATTTCTGCAGTCAACTCTGGACACCTGAATCTGATGGTTGGGGCCTGGTGGTTCTCAGACAAAAGGCGGAAGTAATTTTCTGTTTCATAGAGGTTTAATTTTTTCTTTTTTATAGTAAAATATTTTAAATGTATTTATATATAGCTATGCGCATATCTGATCAAAATCTTGCAAGTGTTTAGCTTTGGATAATTATAGTTCATGTGCATATAAAATATTTTTAGCTGAACTTAATTGCAGATTGCTATGCGCATATCCAAGGGCGATTGCAGTAGCAACTGCATGTCTCCTTAAAAAAAAAACAAAAAAAAAAAAACAAAAACAAAACAAAAAAAAAATTTATGTGGGGGAAAGCTGGTAATGACTGTGTCAGTAAACCATGAAATATTGTAGGGGCCTGCCCCCTCTGCTTTTATTTGAAGAATGGTTGGTCATTCAAGTCATTTATTCATGTGCTTATTAACCATTTGTCCTTTTTATTGTTATTTTTAAAACAGCTTAGTTGTTTGGGTGGACAATGAAGTCAAAAACGATGAGGCTAACCAAGATGGGTCACTTCCATAAAAATAAGCTTTCCATTGAATTTTTCTTAGAACTAAACATTTTGATATTAGTGTGCTTTCCCACACCTTCTTGATGAAATAGAGGCTTATCCTGCTTTGAGATTTTCTGTGTGTGCTTTTGTCAACAGGGCTACTGCAGATTTTTTTTTTTTTTTCCCCCGCCAAGAGAAGAGCCTAGAAGATGGCTTCACTGTGTCCTTTTCTTTGTACAGCAGTGTCTGGGTGAAACCCTTTTGTGTGAGATTACCTGGATTGGATACACCCATCTGCAGAACAGGGAAAGTGAAGATTCTCTTGGAAAATATATTACTTTTTTCATATATTTTACAGTATATGCATTCCCTCTTAAACTAAAAAGGTTACAGTTTTCAAAAAATGGTAAAGACACAGTCATTTTTGGTCATTTTTCCATCAGGTTATCATGGTAAGACTTAAGCAGTATTTTCTAAATACTAGGTGTTTTATATTTGAAAGATGTATGTGATTCTTGATGTTTTAACTACTCTTGGAATATTTTGAATTATAAAGAGGAAAGCTCAGACCTTGTTTTTATACAGCATGTATGTATTTGCATTTGAAGTATTACTGTGAAGTGGTCATACAGTGTTCATGTATGCACTCTTAATAAAGCTGTTATTTCAGAAGATGAAATATTAATTGAATTTCATTGCTCCAATAGTAGAGGAAAGGTTTAAAACATAAAGTGATGTTTTGCGAAATTAGCAGAGTTGTCAACATAATATTCTAGTTTTCCTTAGTGTAAAAATAATTTGCCATGATATAGTGTCACCTGGATTATGAGTGGGATCAGAGGAACCATCACTGAGTAATTGGTAGTATTCTAAAACTATTAGAGGGAAATGTTTTTGTTTTCATTTGCAGAACACAGTTTTTGGAACTTAATCTGAGGTATTTAAAGCAAACGTTTAGAAAACAATAGTTTATTGTAAAAATCATAACTAAAATGACATGAAGAAGGTATGAAATGAAGGCTTCTGCATTTACTTGTTATGAACCGTAGATGATCTGATGGTCATGGCTTTCTATGTTTCCTTTAAAAAGTGGTAGCTGTTCTATGTATGTGCATCGCTGCTCAGGGATACATGGTGGTTGCCATGGCTTAAATCTAGTGTATTATTCACAAGCAGCAGAGAAAGACCTACCCCATCCTCTTTATCGAATGAAAAAATGAGCTGTTAGATATGACTGTTACACAACATAGAAATGGCAGATTTTCTTTTAATGGACGTTGGATATTTGAGTGGAGGATCTTTGAAGATATTAAAACTGTCATAAAAAGCAAATAGAGGAAGCAGTACCAGAGAGCAAGATCTGTACGTTGGCCAGTGAAATTACATCATGCAGTATTTTGTAATCTAGGGACAGTATAGCTGTTACTGGCTATGCTAAGTTAAAAGTGAAAAACCCTAGTATTTATTTTTTAATAGAATATGGAGTTATTTTCCCATTCATCATTGAAATGGCAAGTGATACACTCAGTAAAGTGACTTTTTAGTAATATTTTGAAATGCAACTGTACTTTTTTTTTCTTTTTGTTGGTACTAGTAGGTTTTGCAGTCACAGATGCACTGTTCCCAAGTGATTTAAGATTCTTTGTTTGAGACTACTTGTATTTTTATTCTACCTGGTTTCAGCAGTGCTTTTGTTTTGTTTCTTTGAAGGCATAACCACAGTGTTGACAATGACTACACTGAGCATCAGTGCAAGACATTCTTTGCCAAAAGTATCCTATGCTACTGCCATGGACTGGTTCATAGCGGTTTGCTTTGCCTTTGTCTTCTCTGCTCTCATCGAGTTTGCTGCTGTCAACTATTTTACTAATATTCAAATGGAAAGAGCCAAAAGGAAGACAGTAAAATCCCTCATTGAATTTCCGGCTGCTCCAGTACAGAGAGAAAAAAGTACAGAAGAGACACTCATGGTATGTTTTCAGCTTATACAAATATTATGCTTCTTTTTGGCAATGTTTCTTAGTAAAACGGACTTGAACTTCTTCCCAGCCTCTCCCTGATCTCCATATCCATATTATTCTGGCACTCTCTCCAACAGTAGTAGTTCAGACAGTGAACAAAATTATTGACATTAGTTTCAACTCATTTTGCCCATCCTGGTCCAACCCAACAGGCTTTATCTCTTGCTCAGAAGTGTAAAATAAAACAGCAGATCTTAATTTAGGTTCTCTCAGACAGAGACACATGAGAATTGAGCAGTTCTCTCTGTAGGGGGGAGAGTGGAGGAAAGTACATCCATTACTCTTCAGAATTTGGACCCGATGTGTTGTATATGTAAGCCCTTAGAGGCCAGATTTCTCCTCCTGAACATGATGTAAGTCGGCATAACAAAAGATTAATACAACCCCATTTTCCTTGGAAAAAAATCCTGTAAAATCATATTTAATTCTTGGAGTATTGGCTGATTGGGTTAGCTCAGAGGGCAGGAGGAGCTTGCATGCATCAGTACATGCAGTCTCTGTGCTCTTCTCTGTCTAGCTGAGTTTTGGTGAAGGCCAGTTATGATGGCTGTCTTTAGGGAACTGTTCTTTTCCCTTATGTATTGATTTGAGTTGGACTGCTAATACAGACGCTGATACTACTAATTGTAATCTACATTGTTTGTATCTTGTAACAAATTAAAATATGCTAAAGCGTTGCACTTGTACCATGGAGCCTCTCCCTAGTTATCAAGGTTCTCCTTTCATTGTGTGTATTGCCTACCTAGAGTTTATTTCTTAATCATCAGTTATGTTTTTCTGAAGAGTGCAGGATGAAATGTTGGTGTCTGCCATAAATAACCATTTTCACATAACTTCTCTTTGTGCAGGAGTTCACCTCAGCCTCTGATAAAGGTTTGTTTAGTGGAATAATTTTCAGCTTTAATAGTCCTTTGGGTTAAACGTGACTGTGCTGTAGCTTTCTTAGTGTGTGGGCAAGTTAATAAGGTCATCACCTCTCTTATAGTTGAATTCACCAGTGACTTTCTTTCCTCACTTGTCTTATTCCCATATCCCTACTAGCTGCTGTGTTCCTTCTATTCATCATACACCAAGCTAACAAAGCTCTTACGACACTTGTACTAGGTTAACCTTATGGCAGACCAGTAATTCCCCTTTTGTGGCTGACTGGCTTGGCAACACCAGTCAAAAAGGAAAAGGTTGACACCAGCATTGTAATTTACGCTTTCTGTCAGGCTGACTGTCTAATTTTCTTTGACTGAGCTGTGATTTAAGAACCACAGTTTTAGACTAACTCGTGGTAATTTTGTCTTCTGTGTCTTTTCACTTCTCATTTGTCTCCTTCCCTTCTCATCTGCTCTTTTTGTCTTCCCACCCTTTCCATTTGCTATCACTCCTCAAATGCTGTCCACCCACTTCCATTTTTCCTCCCCTTCTTTACTCTCCTATCATATATCATTGCCGTTTTCAGTCTCCTGGCTGTGTTGTTCTCTTACTTAGAAAGGTAGATATGCTCCTGGAACACATTACCTATGTCACTTTGTTTTCTGCTAGTAAGAGACTGGAGCAAGAAAAGTATGCTTGTAGTAGCATGCTGTTCTATTTGTACGTAGAGATATTAGTGCTGTTGGTTTGTGCTAATCTTCTTGATTGTACAGCATA